TTGCGACACTCTGTTTTCATTGAAGCCTATTTGCCTAAGGAGTAAGATGAGGGAGTAAACAAAGATGCCAGCAGTTTCTGAGTCAGCACATCGGCTCCTATTGTTATTACTAAAGGGTTTGACTAACCTTGAGAAATCTGAAATCTGAGTCTTGTATTGGGAGAGCCTCTGGCTTGAGATCACACACAGATTTCTAGGGAGGCGTTGAACTCCACTAGTTCCCTGTGGAGTAAAATGCCACTGGCATTAATCTCCTTTGAGGAATTGGTGGCAGGGAGGAATTTTCCTCCCATCACCACCACAGAGGATCTTCCTCTGCGATAAGGAATACAAGCTCTTCTGCCCATATCTCAGGGCTTGAGCTACTCCCTTGACCTCTGCCCCAGGCAAATGCAAATCTCCATAGTGGGTATCTTTTTTGCTGGTTTACTAGGCAGGAAATGACCAAGTTAATGTATCTTTCTAGGTCTTTGCCATGGTCTCGCCTATGACCATTTTTCCTCATTGTGCTCACAGACCCAGCAGGGGTGTTTATAAGTTGTATCCCCAACAGGCTAAAATTTCAGAAAAGGCAGGAAGCTTTCTGGCAATGGATTGCTTAAATGTAAACTAGCTGATTTTTCTTTGTTCCAACTCACTCAGCCTACTTTTTAATTTTCCTTTTTTTCCTGGGGGTACTTTACCTTTCCAAGAATGGGTCTTTGGTCCCCTGTGCCTGGAGCAGATGCTTCGCCTACCACCAGCCAAGTAGTCCATAAATTCAGGGCCCACATCCCATCTTACTGCCTGATTTCTTCAATCAATCCCAGGTGGGTAGGGTTCTTGGGAAGCAGATGATGAGACAGAGGTGAGGTACAATCTATGAGAGAGAAGCAGGACTTGTAAGAGGAAGAAGTCAAATGCCAGTACGGGTCCAGCAGAGCTTCAGCAACCTGGCCCAGAGCTTGAGTGAATACTGCCCGGCAGACATGTGCAGGATGGGCTACGATGGCTGCTTGCTTACACAGCCATTTTAGCTGGAAAGAGTAAGGCCGCTGTTTGCAGCTGAAGTAGACCCCAGTTGGAGTGATGACAGAAGGTACTCTACTGCTTGGGAATAAGACCTTCCTTGAAGGGGGATCTAGGTAGCACATCTCCATATCTACCCAAAGTAGCAAATATCCAGTACATTTTCTTTTCAAGGAACCAAAGATGTACTGTACTTACTCCATTTTTTCACTTTCAGTGGGAATCTTGACCAGCTGGGGAAATCTTTTTTTTTTCTTTCTGCAGTTTTTTTTTTTTTTATTTGTTAGCCGGGGCTGGGTTTGAACCTACCACCTTCAGCATATGGGGCCGGTGTCCTACTCCTTTGAGCCATAGGTGCCACTCAGTCTTTTCTCCCCAACTTTGAAAGGTGAAGGACAGCAAAGAATGCTATTTGTCCTCTAATATCCATTCAATCCTTAATGTTTTGATCCCTTTTTAGTTGGGCATATGGCCACCAGAATAAAGTTGTCAAATAAGACTACATTGCGGTTAATGAGTTGTATATAGGAATGTTGTGTATAACTTTCAGGAAATATCATTAAAGGGAGGGGAGGCATGATCATATTTATCCTGTTTTCTTTCCTGCTTCTTGGAATATAGACAAAATGGTTGGAGTTCAAGTAGCCACGCAGAGTTGTAAGGTGGAAGCCACACAGAATGATGGAAATTAGGTCCCTAATGGTCATGGAGTCACCACACTAATCCAGATTGCCTACTTCTTTACTCGGTTTATATGAATCACAGAAAAACCTATTCCTACCTAATGAGCAATTTGGTTCCTATAAATTCATGCTACTTATAATCTTAAAAGAAATGTGGTATTAGTTTACCACAAACATTTGGGCAGTGGGTGGTAAAACTCAGATATTGCAAGATAGAAAACTGATGATCCTTGCTGTCTAGTTGCAAGACATGGTAAACCTGTTGTTGGCTTTAGAAGACAAAT